GGTGGTAGAAACACCGTCACTGACGATGGGAGGAGGAGGAGGAACGGTGGCTGCGACGATGGCAATTACTCAGCAAAGAGAGGAAAATTAGATTTACAATCTGAACGGTTTTTAACGATTCTAATTTTTTCCCTTCCCCTTGAAGTTGGGCTGGGTTTTGGAATGTCATAACGCTGTTATGAATGGTGGTAGTGAAGAAGTGTTGGATACCAGCTGATCTTTGGAAATCAAGTGGAAGTGTTTCACTTTTATCGAAACTCTCACAAACTATAAAATGGAGTCTTCTGACAATGTTGACTGCCTTGTAACGTAGGCTTATCAATGTCACGATAGACAACGATCAAGAACCCTTGTTCCATTGGTCGATTAGATGTGTGCAAATTGTTGTTTTTGCTTTGCTTCCGTACTGTATCCTAAACATCAGCTCACCATTTAGGTGCGTCTGCAACCTTTCCACCTGGCTAGTTTTCTGTTGCGAAGGTATTAAACACTGCGCCGCCTACCACGTTTCATCAATGGGTCTCTATTATTACGCAATAGTCAGCTCAGACACCATTGAATTTGAGTGAGAGAACACTTTAAAAAATGGAGTGACAACAAAGAGGACCTTGAGTAACGCTAAAGCAAGCCAGTGAGATTAATGAAAGAGCAAACACTCAGTTGAATACTGACATTCAACCCCTTACTACTTGTAACCGTTTAGAGTCAACCCACTTATTTAGAGTGGAGTGTCATCGATGGCAAGATACTTGGCTAGACCACACTCCAAGTAGATGACATCTCGTCTCAATCATCTCCTAATTGCAACCCACATTTAACAATAGTTGCATTAAACTAATTGACAGGACTACTAACCATTCCATCAGTTCAAATTTTGTAGCAATTTTAAGTAACCTTAAAAGTGGAAGATTTGTAAAAGACGTCTTGAGGAGACGTTATCAGATGTTGCATCATGGGAAGGCATGGTTAGAGCTTTTTTGTGTAAGCATTTCACACCACAAAGTGACAACACGTTAAGTTATTCCCTTGATCGATGGAATAGTGACTACACAAGTGGAGGGCCACACGGGAGCAGATTGTTCAGCCTTCGAAACTGAGTGGACGTCATTGACTCCAGAGGGAAGACAATCCCTGACCCACAGAAACCTTGGGAGTTCGTAAAATACTCCCACCACGCAATGCGAACATCAGGAATGAAATCCCGAAAAGAAACCTCAACACAGCGGCACACGGAAAAACCGCTGAATTTAATAAGTTTGAGATACTCCTCATGCAGGCCATTAAATACTTGCAGAAATCATTAATACCATAAAGGAGGCAAATATCGCGTTCCGTTGAGCAACCTTCGCGAAATGGCCAAGGACCCAAAACGTAATTCCGAGTCGTTCCAGAAAGCATTTTATCGTACGAAATAGCAATTACTGAGCATATTTAAGCAACACTTAAATAGATGTAAAACCAGGGCAAGCAGTGGCCGGGTCAAATTTGACTACAAATTGTTCCTCCTTGTTCGGAGGTCCTGTTGTGCAAAAGGTGAAGTATATCGACGTAACACTGAATTATTGAGACTTTATCCCCGACTCCAGATCAACACTTGCAGCAACAGCAAAAATTTGCAACTAGAGGTACCACGCTCCATGAATGGATTGGAACTTGATTATTCTAGATCAAATTTGTGGCACTACAACTGTAAACAGGAAGCAGAAACCTAGACCAGATGATATTTTCCACAAATAACTAAATTTTGCTCGACCTCGAAAAATTATCAAATACCTTGACATGACATCAAATGTGTACCATCAACTGGATACTTATGCACAAAACTGCACTGTTTATTACGAATTGCAGGCGATATCCCAGGATTGAAGATATAAAACCTTCATATGACTGAGAAGGATGTAGATATCTGTACACGATCTGAAAGCGCATGCATAAAAGTACATTCTCCGACTATCAACACGACCGATCTCTCATTTCAGACATTAACTGGCGCAGTTTACTGGAGTGCAGAGGTAACTCAGAAGAAACGGCCACTAGTGGATTGATCTCATCCGAAGTCCCAGAAACTAGAGCTGGTTCTGTCTGCCAGAAGGCATTTGGCGCAATTTCAGGTGGAACTCTGTCTTCGTATTTACCTAAAAGCAAAAAGCCTAAACTTTCGGACGCTTACTACTTGGATGTCGTAAATGTGAACGCCGTTTGGGAACGACATTGCAAGGCTCATTTCTGGGAATAGCAACTGGGGAGAGGAGGTGGTTATGTCGAAGGTTGTAGTTCAGAAGTCTTAAAAAGCCATTGTCGTAGATAAAGTTCATCCGCGATGGACAGTTGATCATCTTCGACCTAGAAAGAAGCTGAACGACAAAAAGGGTAACATACTTCCGGGATACGCCACGTGTAGAACGACTCCTGAAGGTGCCGGAGTGTTTGCATTCGAGCGTTAGACGTCGGTAAACACAGGTTCCACAATCAGCATGATTATGAGGGAGCTTCGTAGTGTGACGACGAATATAGCACGCCCCAGTTATCTAAGACATGGAACGCACAAGTAGGACATACCTCATAGAATCGTGTGAATTGTTCCTGAAGTTGGGCAAATGAACGGAAATGTACGGTGTCAAATAAGTTTTTAAAAGTCATTGCAAATTCGGGGTCCGGTTCAAGAGCCTCCACTATAGGCATTGTGGTTAGTAAATCCAAGCAGGTACCGCCAACAAACGTAACTGAAGGGAGTATTCTAGGAGCTGCCTGTCCATTGTGCGTATGTCTGGAATCACAATCCGTTATCTGAAGAAAATCGCCATTAGTTTCCACGGTCACAAATGAGAAACAAGGCTCGCTACTAAAGTTACTAAGAAGTAATTTTAAATCTACATAGATGAGACACCGCAGCACCTATATATAACCTTCTTATACATGAATCGATCATATTGCGACGTGTAACGGGTAAAATAGTCCACTTTGTCAATTTTGTACTTGGTTCCCGTAGCCTATTTGGAAACACGGGTTGAGTGGCAGTGAAAACTCGACTTACAATTTGCAAATTGTGCATGAAAATTTTCAATTCGTAAATATTTGAGAAAATCTGAAACTTTGTAATTTGAGGGACCACAGTTGCAATAGAGGCCATAAACAGAGCACCGCGATAGAGACAAAAGCCGAAGGCTTCTGGGCAGTTTCAAGGCCGACGCAGCAAGTAGAATTCACTGTAGATGATTGTGGTGATGTAAACCTTCCAGCTGCGTTGAAGGATAAAGAATAGAGAGTTTGATTTAGAGGGGCGCTCAGACGAACATTTATTTTTTATAAAAGTAGCCCAAGAAAAGTTATGATGTCTCGTATAGAAGAACAACATAAATTGAAACATTCTTTAATGATGTGCGGCATTCCTTTTGTGCTAAAGACTAGTGGAGAGTGTTGCTATCCACCATCGCCTACCAGTTAATTTTAGCAAAAGTAAGTGTTACGTCCCTGGACACCCTATTAATTAGACGAACAAATTAAGACGGGAAAAATTAAAGTAATCGAGGAGAAAGAGTAATTACTGAGTTTTAACTGAATCCAAATGTAGCGTCCCGAGATTTCATAGCACGTAGAAGAAGTCAGTAAGGGCAGCTGAATACATGTATTCCGAAGACGACAGGGCAAATTGGCTTGAGCATGGCCTGAAGGCCAGCCCACGTGCAAAAGGAACAGACAAATCAAAAAGTGACCATCACACGTCGGGTAGTCACATAAGCAAGGCATTACACTGCCCCTCTCTTCTTTTGAGCGACGTCCTCGGCGCTCCCCATTGGTACACCTCCTGCGCCAGCCATCACAACACATTTAGTACTGCAAGAAAACACCCACGAGCCATCCGCTCCAGTCGACAGATAGCATAAGACTGAGGAACCGTGCCAAATCTCCTCAGCAGCTTCAATTGGATCTGGAGTTACGTTACGCA